TAGTCCTTATAAAATCTGCCAAGGATATCTAAAAATAACAGTTGATGATATCCCAATCATCATATCAAGAATAGATGAAAATATGAAATCATTGTTATCATGGAAAGAGTGATAAGTACTAATTCCATGAGTCCATATATTGAAATTACACTTAATACAAAAAGTTATTGTAGAATTAAATTTCATATTTACTTAGATACAGGAAGTACAATAAGTTTATGCTTACCAAATGTACTACCATCTGAATACTGGATATACAATTCAAAGAAGATAGTCACCGCCACAACAGCAGGTGGAAATAAGGTAATATATAGCAAGTATGCTACTCAAGTACCTTTTCTAATTTCCTTTAGAGAAGTATTTGTTGATACAATATATATGTCAACCACAATTGGATGTGATATTTTATTGGGACAAAATTTCTTATTAAAATATGCACCATTTACACAATATATTGATAAGTATATGTTCACAACACCTTGTGCACATAAAATATTTACACCAAAAATAAATAAAGCTATTACAATGGCATATACAGATATAAACCATCAGAGTTCCTCAACCCAGCGTGGTGGATGTTGAAGTACAAAAAAATTTAAACCAGTTACAATCTTAAAAATGACAACAGAAAATAGGATTGAAAAACTGAAAAAAGAAATTTCTGAAACATATTCTGAAAATCCATTAGAAAAATGGAATACAGACAAAGTAAAGGCAAAAATAGAATTAACCAATCCAAACACTATTGTTAGAGTCAAACCCATGAAATATAGTGTTGATGATCAAAAGGAATTTAAAGACCAGATAAAAGAATTGCTAGAAGCCAAATTAATCAGGCTTAGTAAAAGTTCACATAGCAGCCCAGCCTTTATGGTTAGAAAACATAACGAGATAAAAAGAGGAAAAGCCAGAATGGTGATAAATTACAAAAAATTAAATGAAGTTACTAAATTTGATGGATATTACTTGCCAAATAAGGGCACCCTTATTAAACAAGTACAAAACAAAAAGATATTTTCAAAATTTGATTGTAAGTCAGGGTTTTGGCAAATCATGCTTACAGAAGAAAGTAAATCATTAACTGCATTTAGTACCCCCAATGCTTTAGGACAATACGAATGGAATATAATGTCATTTTGGTTGAAAAATGCACCACAGATATTCCAAAAGAGAATGGATGACGTAACCAAACCAATTACTCATTTCTGTATTGCATATGTAGATGATTTACTTATTCATTCAAATAATATTGATGAACATATTGAACATCTTGAGAAATTTTGTTATATTATGAAAAAACATGGTATTACACTTTCTCAAAAGAAAGTTGAGATAGCTAGAACAAAAATAGAATTTTTAGGATTATTTATAAAAAAACGAGAATTGCAATTGCAATCTCATATTGGAGAAAAATTTCAAGAATTTCCTGAAGAAATCAAAGATAAAAAACAATTACAAAGCTTCCTTGGTATATTAAATTATGCTGAAAGATTTATTGAAAATTGTGTCAAATTGAAAAATTATTTTCTTCCAAAATTAAGAAAAAATATAATGTGGTCGTGGGAAGAATAAGATTGTGAAAATATAAGGAAAGTAAAAGAAGAATTAAAGGTATTGCCCAAACTAGTAATACCACAAAAAGAAGATTTATTTATCCTTGAAACTGATGCTTCAGATGATTATTGGGGAGTAGTATTAAAGGTTAAAAAGATTCATAAAGAATATAAATGTGAAAAGAATTGTTCTTGTCCTGAGATACTTGCAGGTTATACATCAGGAACATTCAAAGAAGTTGAAACAAGATATAAGACGAACAGAAAAGAACTCATTGCTGTAAAAAGAGGAGTTCAAAAATATGAAGATTATTTATTATCAAAGAAGTTCTTGATTAGAATAATACTCAAGTTAAAGGATTTTTGAAAAATAATGTTGATTCATCTATTGCCAATAGATATATTATTAGGATACAAATTTAATTTTCATATTTCAAATTTGATATTGAATATATAAAAGGCAAAACTAATTTTCTACCTGATTATTTTAACAGGGATGGAGCTAGAACAATTTAGGACGAAAGTCCAGATACTTGAGATAAAAGTTTCCTATTTGGAAACACAAATTCAAAATATCAAAGATAGAAGGTAAAAATATAGCCATTGAGGCAGAAGTTACTTGTACCAAATCTAGTATCCCTTTGCAGGGACTTGTGAATACTAGTGCTCTCCCCGAGGATAAAGGGAAAGAAAAAAAAGGTAATAGGAACCCCTTCACAGGAAAAACTTGAACCTATTACTGGTAATAAAGATATTCAAGATATCAAAAGAGAAGGTAGCTCTTCACAGAGCCAAACTCAATCTAAACTTTCTATTAAAAGGATAGATCCAAAAGAAATTGTCAAGATATGCCATGAAGCAAAAATTCCCAGAAAAGATAACCATGAAGAAGTAACACTCTTTATTGTTATTTTCAATATTTTATCAGATTGGTATCTGGAGATTGAAAAGTGGATGAGGACTCTCCACTATTCAAAATACAACAAGATAAATTTTTATCCAGAAGCACCAGCCAACTGGGTACGAAATTGTTTTGAGATAGGAAATATACTTTGTATATATCCTAGCAAAAATCTCAAAGAGATAGCTCAGCTTCCAACCAACATCAGGAAAGTTGTTAAAAGATATACTGAAATCGTCAAGACAACAAATATATATATCAGATTCCATTCAGCAGCCATGGAATGGAATCCCGTTCTTGAATATATGCATCCATCGTTCCATGTGATAAAAATGGGACTTACGAATCAACATTTTTTACCAACCAATCAAAAGGTTGTTAAAAATGGATATCAAGATATTCTAAATATGATGCCCTACAGAAGAGTAAAAGGGTACAAAGAGATATTTGAACATGTAACTCAGATAATTATTGAGAAAGAAAAAATATGAATTTATCCATCTGAAGATCATATTATCTATTCCAATGCAAGGATGGCCACCAAGGAAGAAGATATTTGTTATCTCGATCATTTATTATCTGCAATTATTTCTAACCAAGTGCATGGATCAGAAGATATGGCTAAAGAACTATGCAAATTACTCTGAAATTACAGTGATCACCATTGTGAATACTGTGTTGTCAAAGATATGAGTCAAGCATCTCTTAATAGTGAAGAATTCCCTGCAGAATTCTTTGATTCGAAAATGAAAAAGTAATGGTGACAAAAGTAGCCCTTTATCACTACTTTAATAAAGAAATTTATTAAAGAAAAAATGTGGCTACTAAAAGACAGAAGATAGTGCAAGAAAAGTCTCCATAATTGTGACTATTCCTCACCATTTGTCACAAGTGGCAGACAAACTCAAAAGATAAGGCATATAATTTCAAAAGGAGAGGTCCACTTTGCAAGAAGATAATGGAAAATTCGGTGGAGATAAGATGGCCTAAATACCCTACAAAAAAAGAGGAAAAACACCTGTCAAGATAAGATTCCCAAAGACTTCTATAAAAGGAAGCAAGGAGGAAGAAGGAAGACATCTCGAAATAACTTATCTCTTAAACACTCGGAGGAAACACATCTTAGAGAAATATCTTTTATAATCTGTATACACCACTTGTATTCAGAAAAATATTAAATAGCTTGAAGATAGTAAAGCGTGTAATAAGGTAATCACTTATGGAGTTCTAAACTTCATAAGGTGAGTACCAAAGGTATATAAATATAGATTGTAAGTATGTACTATTTCAGTTTATGAATATCAAAGTAAAGTTTGTTATGTTCAACAAAGCTTTCATAAAAGGATTTCGTTAAGTTTCTCATGATTCCTCGACAGTACAGATAGAGATTTTAAAAGATTTCAAAACATTGATTTTGAATGGATGCTAGCCATGCCAAAGTACTCGTCTTTGAAGAATGGTTTAGGAGAAAAAGGCAATTTTCTAACAAAATTGTAGCACCTTGTGTGTGAGTTATCTTTTAAAATTTCGTTCCAAGTAGGAACTTGATTCTGAAAAGAGCTTGGATAGAAGTGAAAATAGAGACTCTGGATACTGTGAGATAGCGTCTGTGGAAACACGGCTAGTTCTCTAGAGTGAGAAATGCAACCTTAATTGAAAAACCTTTTGCGGAAGCAGTTGTGGACCCAAATGATTTCAAAAAACGTTTTAATCTTTACTTGATTCAGAAGATTGATTAAGTACATGCAAAGCATCTATAAAAGCATACTGGAGGGAAAGCCTATTTACTTCTACTTGATTACTGTAAGTTATTTACTTGTTTTTACATGCTTATGTTTTAATTATTCTGATGAACAATTCACAAGCATCCACATCTATTTCTAATAATGATAATAATCTCATATTATTTTTAGATGAAAAAGATGTTTCGTTTTTATTTAAATTAGCTGAAAAGTTTGAAGATATATTTCCTGTTGGCAAAGAAAAAATTGAAGAAATATATAGAGATATAGATTATAATTGTAAAAATAATATAGGATTTGATTCTGTAGGAACTAGTAAAGAAATAAGAAAGATAGATGATATTATAACTAAACATAGAGATATACAAGAAGAAATTTCAGAAGGATTAGTTCGAGGATATATAACCAAGAAATGTCAGCTTAGGATCTTTAAAGAACTACTAAAATACAAAAAAATATTTAAAGGTGTTAGAAAGATTGAAAAATATAGATATAGGTTCTGATTAATAAATCCTTAAAGATATAAGATATATCTTGCAAATAATTATAGTAAGGATAAAATAGTATTTCTTATAGAAGAGGCCATTGTGGAAAATTGGATCAATTATCTAGCCATTTTAAAAATTGCCCCAAATATTAGTCAACAACTTTTTGAGATCAAACAACTATCATTTTCTAGCTTATTCATAAAGTCCACGATCAAGAATTCCCAAGCAAAAAAATAAATAAATAAATAAAGATGCAAACCTAATCAATCAATCAGTCATAACCTGTTTCCCAAAAAAAAAAATGAAGGAACTTTAAAGGATTCCCTGACTAAAACAAAAATTACAGAAAATCCCTCAAATTTCTTTGTCAAACCAGTTCATAGTCTAAACAAGTCTAATCTCACAACTTCAGTAGAATCCCAATCATAAATTTGAAGTCATTTTTGCTTGTTTTTAGCCTTCTTTCCCTTGGCTCTCCAGTGTCTCCACAATTTGGCCATGCGTGTTCGATTTTAGTCTTCTTTCCTTGTGATCACCAAAATGCTGCTTCTTGAGTTGCATCTTTGCCTCCAACAGTGATTTGGTTACTTCCTCATCTCCAGGAATTTCTTGCATCAACACCTCGTCATCTTGAATTGCAGTATCCCATCTTTCCAACTGATTTACATGAATCAGAAACAGATAAATGATCAATGACTCTGATAAATAAGCTTACACACAGTTGATCAAGCTTTACCTCATTTTTCCCATTGGGAAAATGAAGAAGGAAGTAGCGGTGTCAAAGTGCACAGGCTAGTTCTGAGGAAAAAATGAGACGAAAAAGGCAACTGAAGCAGAAATACGAATCGAAGCAAAAATATGATCTTTTCGAGAGCGAGAGATACCTTAGAGTTGCAATTTGCCCTGCGCAATCTGGCCTTGCTGTACGAGGGATGCACATTAAGAGCTGCTGTGCAATCTTCTACTGCTTTCTCATACTGGCCTAATTTGAATCGATAAGCAGCTCGATTGCAGAGCAGAATCGAGTTATAAGGATCATGTTCTAATCCTTCTGTATATGCAGTAAAAGCCTCCAAAAACCTGGATTCTTTAAAATGCTGGTTACCATTTGATCGAGCCAATGCCACAAATTTAACCCTTTTTGCTATCAAACTTGATTCATGTCTTGCATCAAGTCCTACAGCATTCTGAGCAGCAGCCACAGCATCCTCAAACCTGTCAACATTTAAAATTAGCCGCGCATCCTCAATTTCAGATTCAACTCTAGAGGAAATTGTACGTGAACAACATTTGACGAAAATTTCAACTGACCTGCAGATGGACAGGTAAACCAGGGATCGAATAATTAATAGTGCAGTAGTGCCTAAGGAGCCGAAAAACTGAGTCCAGAGTGGAATGCTAAAATTCGGGCTAGTCTTGATAGCCTTATATGCCTCTTGGTACCTATGAAGTTTCATCAGTGCCTCAACTTTCATTGCATAGATCTGTAGAAAAAAAGTTAAAGAAATGTTTAGCATTTTTTCATGGACATAATATGGCATGAAACTAATAGTATGAACTATGAAGTACTAACCATTAGAGCCGAATCTGCTCCTGAGGATAGTGCAATCTGAGACTCGTTCAGCAATTTTTTCCAATCTCCTAGATTCCGAGCTTCAGTACACCTGTCAAGGCATGTCTTAAGAGCTTGAGCTTGAATGATATCTTCATTACCAGCCTTGCGCCCCGAGCATTTGTAGTGACCCAATGCTTTCTCGGGTTCTCCCAATCTATGAAAAAAGTAGCAAAAAAATCCCTCAAGTAAAGGCTAAGTGCAAGTGACATTGCAATAAACAAGATTTTTAACTTTTTTTCCTTGTCGGGCGTAACTGTATGTTACCTTAAATACAATTTTGCTAGACGAAAGTGAGCATTAAAGTACAGAGGATCTATCTGGATAGCCTCTTTACATTCAAAAACTGTCTCTATGAGGCGGCCTAAACCCATCAAGGCTGCACTTTTGTTGCTATAATAGCAAGCCTTGCTCGGATCAATAGCGATTGCTTGGTCATATAATGCCAACGCCTCCTCATACTTTGCTTGCTTATACTTCTCATTCCCTAAGGATTTCAAGACATCAAGATCCAATCTATTTGATAAACTACGTAATATGTTTCCAAATCGAGGGGTCATGTCATTGGATTTCTTCATCATTTTCTCCTGAATCCCCAATCTATTTGATGCACTTTGCTTCCCCTACTGCTACAAGTTACCCAAATGGCCTAAAAGCATCACAATACCCTCGGAAGCTCGATTCGTTGTTCCATTTGAGTCGAATTTACTTTGATCAGCAACAGTCAGGTTGAGATCACTCAAGTTGAAGGAAGTTCCCTTGGTGTGCCTTTCCGTGATGGACGAATTCACAAGTTGAGACGCTCCATTCGAGCTCGAATTGTTGGAGGATGACGTTGAACTTTTCATTGCAATGATATCCCGGTACCTTGATGATCACGAGAAGTTGAACGCTTTATCCTAGCAGAATCAGGCTTATCCAATGACTTTTCGATGATTTTGGATGGATTCTTATCCGATTTTAAGGATTCCAGACGTCCGATTTCACTGGAATTCTCAAGTTGCTTCCTGGTAGTTGGAGTACTTTGAAACATGACAGATTTTCTTGGCCTCAAGCTCTTTAGGTGGAAAAATGCTCCCACTAGACCATATCCCATTTCATTCTCTGCTGTATATTTTGCAGTTTCTGCCATTGTCCCTTTCTATCTCAAGATACCTGAGGGCCTTCCTACTAAGGCTGAACAAAACTCTCGAGCCAAACCGATCAAATCGAACCCGACGGTTCTTCTCAAGTTAAATACCCGAATGAATATTTGAATCAAGAACCGACGGGTATGGTTCGGTTCTCGGTTCGAGGCCAAGACCCGAAGAACCGACTAAAAATCGAATCTCCGTAATTTTTTAATTAATTTATTTTAAATAAGTAAAATTATTTTATTTTTTCTAAATAAATTTATTAACTAGTTAATTTAGTACAAACCACAAAATATGATTTTCCTATTTCTAATTTTCAGTTTAAAATCAACTTAATCAAATTGATCTCAATTTTATCTAAATCTGTTATTCTATTGTAGTGTCGTTTCTACCGGAGAAAATCGAATTAAAACTCTACAACATCTCTCTTAATTATTTTGAGCTCGCTATCTTTATTTTTCTGTGATTTCAATAATCAAATTTATGAAGAATTCTGCAAAGAGAGACGTGAAACACATAAGAATGAACTACGTTATTTTGTAAAAGCTAATATTGAATATATTATTAATTAAATTAACGTAACTTTGTATATATTAAGAAATTTAATTATAATACGGAACCGAATGGAATCGAACCTGAACGGTTCCGTAATTAAATTTGGATCCGACGGTTCCACTTATTAAATACCCGAAAATCTCGAGTCAGTTCGGTTCTCGTTAGAATCGAACCAAATCGGACCATGTCCAGCCCTACTTCCTACTGGAGAATGATAAGCAAAATGAAATCAGAAACATTCATGGTCGAGATAAGTGAAAATGTGATTATTCTTTACACAGTCCAACGAGAATTGAACCTCATTCAAATTAAGGGCTATTTGATTGTAAAGATGAAATTTGGGTGGAAAGAAAATGAAATCCAGGAAATTGAATTACCTAGAAATTGTTTTACTGAAAATTGTCAATTAATAGTGTTTGATTAATAGAATTTTTCACCTGAAAAATGTTGAAATAAATGTGTCTTTTGGTATTCGTTTGACTTTATTTTTCATGGGAATTGTTAATTTAAGTGATATTCACTTCTACAGTTGTTCATAGAATTTGTTTCCATTGCCAAAAAAAGAATAAAAAATAAAAAAATCCAAAATCATCTACATTTTGGTGTTGGTTTGTCTTTGTTTTACATGAAAATTGTAAATTTAGGGGATATCCTCTTTTACAATTATTCCTAAAATTTGTTACCATCGTAAAAAATAAATAATAAAAAAAGGTGAAAAACATAAAACCACCTACGCCATGAGAAAATGAGTTCCCCAAAAACTTGGAAATTGTGGGCGTGTGAGGGAAATGTGGAAAACCAATTGCCTAGAAAATTTTGGTTATCAAACAAGCCTAAAGTGGGAAATAAAATTTGTTTTCCATGTTCCATGGAAAATTTTGGGCTATCAAATATAGCCTAATAGTAATAGGACATGAAGGGAAGTCGAGTTAATTGTTCCAATGGTGGCTGAACTTAGGTCCATATTTTTGATTGGTTATTTAACTTTAAAAAACATCGAGTTTTGGTTACTAAATTTAGGTCCATATTTTTTATTGGTTACTAAAGTTTAAAATATCGAGTTTTGGTCACTGAAATTAGATCAATGTTTTCGATTGCTCACTGAACTTAGATCCATATCTTAGATTGCTCACTGAAGTTTAAAATGTCAAGTTTTGACCACTGAACTTTAGAATATGCCATAAGTTATTCACTAGCATAACTGTTGAATTTTGAAAAATATCGAATTTATAGTGAATAATGTACAACATTTTTCAAAGTTCAGTGAGTAATGTACAATATTTTTAAAGTTCAGTGAGTAATGTACAACATTTTTTAAATTTCAATGGTCAAAACTCAAAATTTTAAATTTTAGTGAGCAATCGAAGACATGAACATAAGTTATGTGATCAAAACTCAACATTTTTCAAAGTTCAGTGGCTAAAACTCGACATTTTAAAATTCAGTGGGCAATCAAAGATATGGATCTAAGTTCAGTGATCAAAACTCGACATTTTAAAGTTCAGTGGCTAATCAAAAACATGAATTTAATTTCAGTGACCATTGAAACAATTAACTTAGGGAAGTCTCAAAAACAAACGAAGAGGGAAATTCCCCATAACTTGAGAAAAGTAGTGAGGAAAAACTCGATAAATGTGCACAAATATATAGCTTGAAAATGAAGTGTTCAATGTGATAGGTCTACTGCTTATGGGATTGTATTTATACAATCTTTGGACAGCTAGAGTGGAAGCCAAGAAATCAACTTTATGTCTTTTGGCCATGTCAAACAAATTTCAAATGGGACAAGAAAAATACTACTTTTTTTTTCCCCTTTCATTAGTGGAGGTCTTATCAATTGAGTTATAATATTACTGTACTTTGAACAATTTTATCTTCTTCTTTTTCTTCGTAAACATTCTTTAATACCAAACGTGTAGGACCTGTTTGGATCATGTCCAGTTTGTACTCTAAAGGATCATATATTTGCTCGACAAATGTCTCGTTTGCCAAAAAAATAAAAGCCTCCATTGATGCCAATTCTATTGCCATTCGTACGCAGTAAGTCTGAACGGAAGGAAAAGGTAAATTAAATTCTTGTTATGTTAATTTGAATTATGGCTAATAATAATATCAATATATAAATTAAAGGGCGGGTAACATAAACAAGGATTATTTTAAAATTTGAAATTCAAAATATATAATTTGGAATGCAATATTTAAGTAATCATGACTAGGTTCATGTCTTCAATTTATGACACCAAATATGTATAAAAATTTAAATAATAATAATAATAATAATGTTGTCTTCATGGCACCAAATATGTATAGAAATTAAAGTAATAAGAATTCAAGGAAATCAATGCTTTGATGGATTATATCGTATTTATATTGACCAAGAAATGTGCTTTTCTAAAAAGGTTAAACCCTAACCTTAAGGGCTCCCCACCACCCCTGCCCTGAAGTATCGTGAGGGAGGTAAATCGTAGGTTATGCCTCCAATGGTACAGGGTGGAAGGCTGCTTGTACACTTACACTTACCCAAGAGCCAAATCCATATTTCAGGATTCAAACCCTTAACGCAACAGCCTCAAGCAAAACTGGATTTCTCCACCCTCCCCTTTTACCACTTGAAGATGTGCCCTGGAGGTAGAAATATGCTTTTCTAGTTAAGATTTGAAGTTGTTAATTTGAGTCCAGTACCACTGCACGGACAGGTCCAAATTACAAGCCAATCCCGGCTTATATGG